GCCCTGGCTAGACCACCTGCTGCCCCTGCTTGTGTGGCCTCACTAAAGGAAGAGGCACAGTGTCTTCTGTGCATTAGGGACGAAAAAGACATGCTGCTGAGCTGGCTGGTCTTCTGGACTTACTCTTCTCATCCTTGTTATGGCAGGAACATGTTCTCCCCACCCCAGAATGGGGTGTGAGATGGGGAAGGGTGTGTACGTGGACTTGCACAAAGACCTGCTGGCTTGGCTACACCCCTGTGACACCCCAAGTCCTTCTCCTGGAAGTTGCCTCTATAAGACCCCTTCTGCTCCTGGATTTCACCACTTGCAGTGATAACAGACCTCCTAGGCACATGGCTCCTACCTTTGATGGTGGTATTCTCCCATGCTTGCCTTCTCCCAAGCATTTCAGGGTGCAGTTTCTCTCTTCAATGTGATCCTGTTTTCATTTTCTCAGAGATTTCTTAGTTTCAGACTCACCAAAGCTTCCCCTTCTTGTTTTAACTTTGCTGGAGTATTTCCCTTTTTCTTTTTAATGTGTATCATTTCTAAGGTTTCGTGCAGGAGTAGGGTAGGGAGGATCGTGTGCACTCGGTCCACTGGAAGCACATATCAGAGCAGTCAGGCAGTGATTACTGCATAACCAACAGGCCTTCTCGATTAACTTGAAGTATTGCAATAGACGACCAGGAACAAGGCATTTCCAAAAGATAATGCAAGGCTCACAGAGTGACCCGCTGTCTGCATGATATTCTATACAGACTGGATTGTCAAAATGTGTTTTTAAAGGATTTAAAATAAGAACCCATTTATGAGAAAAGGGAACTCCTTAGCAATACAAACTGGTAAGAAACATTGAGAGTAATAGTTAATATCTAACAATCACTGCCTCTGTAAGTGCTCTGCATATTACACTCAAACCTCACAACCACTTTATGAGGTAGGTACTATTATTATCTTCACTTTACAGACATGGACATGTGACACAGAGGTTTAACAACTCATCTAAGTTTACACAGCTAGCATAAGAAAGAGCTAGAAGTCAGCTGGTCTGATTCCACAGCCCATCATGTAACTACCATAATACAATGTGTGCTACAATGCAAACAAACCCCCAAGGAATTTATAAAATAGTTATAAGGGTGAAGCGTCCCAAGCCTCAATAGTATTGCTTTGTTTGGTAAAAGTCTGAAATAATGCAAATCATGATATTTCTAGGTAACACATGGATATGATGAACCAATAGTTTGGACATGTGGTCTAGAACTTAATTTTTTTTTAAACTCTTCCTACTTCTTCACTCCTACCCAGCTGACATGGATGATCAAAACTTGACAGTTGCCATTGACTCTACTCTGTCTCCCATATAACTCATCAGCAGATCTACTTGGCTATTCCTTTAACACAGAGCCTGGATCTCACCACTTTTCACATCTCCATGGTATCTGGGATCGAGAGACGGGGCTGTCAGAATCAAGAAGCTTCCACCACCATTGCTGCTGCCCCAACTGCTTCTTAAATCCCAGGAAGCTGAAGGACACACCAGAATGCTGCAATGCTCACATCCCCAGGACCCTGTTTGTCAGCACAAGACCTGACAAAGTAGAACACAAAATCACCCTCCACCTCACTTTTGCTTCCCAAAGCTTTCTGTCCTGTGAGTGTCCTCGCCTCTCTCTTGGCATTGATAAGAATTGGCTTCCTTTGAAATGTTTTTGTGTCTTTGTCTTATCTCATCTCCCTAGATTGCTAGTTCAGAGAGGAACCATGTGTTCTAATTTTTTCCTATCCCCCAACAGTACCTAGAGTGCTGTCAAGCAGTATACAACTGCCACTGGGAGCAAGGCAGTTTTCTAGATAAAAAGCTGGAACCAGATGTAGAATTTCTGCATAAACTATCTTAGTGGCATAGCCGAGGTGAAATACACAGGTGTAAACCAAATAGTTTCTACCTAATTAGTTGGACATTTCTCAACATCTGAAAGAGTTTTTTTTTTTTAAATAATATGTTCTAAACCACTGTATTAAGCACTGGACTGTGAAAATAATTACTAGGCCATTTACAATGGTAAATGACAAACATAACTTGTAGTATGGAGTATGGCTGAAAACCATCTTTTTCTTAATTGTTAGGGACTAACATGTTTGTCTTCATTGCTATACTCATAATTAGATTTTAGAGCCAATTTTTACATATGTTTTGGAAGCTGATGATTTAGAACATGACGAAAATAAATTAAACACATCTCTTTTTAATTGTTAGGGACTAACACCTTTGTCTTCACTGCTATACTCATAATTAGATTTTAGAGCCAATTTTTACATATGTTTTGGGAGTTGATGATTTAGATCATGACAAATTAAATCCATCTCTCTTAGTTTAATTCTAGAAAGTTGTTTCGGTTGTAAACCGTTTCAGAAACAATCCTCAAATGTTTGATGTAATTAAGCCAGCTTTCAGGAAAACATCTGTCCTATTTCGAGGAGGCTCCAAAAACTAAAACAAGTTTGCTTACTTTTACATTATTTATATGATATATAATAAAAAATAAATTGATCGGCCAAGAGAAAAAGATGCTTCTGATATTAAATGCCAGACATACTACAAATCAAGATAACTTAATTATTAAATAGTAATGCTCTTACAAATAGATATGGGAATACTCACGTTTATTCTTTAATATTTTATTCTATTTGATGGTTTCTATGGTTGTAAATTGCTACAATTCTTCTCTTTCATATTATGTGCCATTCTACTGGCTCCTAAAATAAAAAAATTCCTGATTCCCCCCGCTTCCATTAGTACCGTCTCTAAATACAGATAAGAAAACAGACTTATAATTGAAAATGGAATGTCTTATGGTCATAAACTCTTACTCATGGAAACAGTTTTTGGATTTTTCTCTGTTTTCCCCCCAACTGGAATTTACAAGTTTAACAATTAATATCTGAATTGTTGTGACTATATGTAGTACATGGTCTTAAACCCAGGAATGGATTTTAATAATCAAGAGACTGGAAGCAAAGCATTCTTGCAAAAAAATAAACTGTAAATGTGTCTTCATCCCTAGACTTTCTGTAACTAAAAACAAATGGTGAAGAGAGATACAAGACCCCAGAAATCAGATAAAAGTCTATGAGTATCTTAAGCTCAGAATAACTCCTACATTACAGTGTAGAAAACTTAATTGTAAGGCTTCTCCTACTGCACAGCACAGTAACACCTCCCTTACCTGGTGCTCCTTTTGTAAGCTCGTATTTTCTGGTTATACAGTTAAGAACTAGACTTTTTTTAAAAAAGCCTTTTAAGGTGGGCACAGTGGCTCACACTTGTAATCCTAGCACTCTTGGAGGTTGCGGCGGGAGGATTGCTTAAGGTCAGGAGTTCTTGACCAGCCTGAGCAAGAGCAAGACCCTGTCTCTAATAAAAATAGAAAAAAATGAGCCAGGTGTGGTGGTGTGTGCCTGTGGTCCCAGCTACTCGGGAGGCTGAGGCAGGAGGATTGCTTGAGCTCAGGAGTTTGAGGTTGCTGTGAGCTAGGCTGATGCCACGGCGTTCTAGCCTGGGTGACAGAATAAGACTCTGTCTCAAAAAAAAAACCCCCCAAAACACAAAATCTTTTTCAATAGGAAGAATACCTGTCACAAAGCATTTCATTTGTGTAAGAGGTAGGAGAAACCCTAATTACATCCACTGATGTTATACTGTATACAGAAATGTCTCATAATTGAATCAGTGAGGTTGGTTATCTCATATTTTTCCCTAACAACTTTCCACTAATATAAATTAGCAAGTTAAAAACAAAAGAAGGGGTGCTAGCAACAAAAACTCAGTTGCAAGAAAAGCCAAGAAAAACACAATTCCAGAAAAATACAGGTCAACAGCCATTTAAGATAGGGGAAAAATAATTTATGATAATAATTTTAAATTACCAAGGAAAAATTAAAATGTTTCAGTATATTCTAAGAAAGAACAAGTATATGATGCATGTAATACTTTTGTCAAATGATTAAAATAAAACAAATGTTAGTTCTTAATGAGTTAAGCTTCACTTATCTAAAATATTTACCTACAGAACATGTCTTCCTTCCAGGATATGCCATAAGACGAGAAGACTTGCAATAAAATAAGAGGTCCTAATCTTCACTGAGAGAAAGAACAATACAGGCTTATATGGAAGAAATATGAATTTGAACTTCCCGCCAACTGTATGCATCATAAAGCATCCTGAAATCAAAATCATATGTACCACTTAACAGAAATGTTGCATGGGTGCTTGTTAAGTTTGATGCACTGATTTTCAAACAACCTTTTCAGTAGGAAGAATACGTGTCACCAATGTTTCATTTGTTTAAGAGGTGGGAGAAACTGTAAAGTTATCTGAAACTTATGAATCTCGTCACATTCAGTATAAATATCCTAGAGTTTACTTTAGAAATACGGATTGACAATGTCCAAAAAATCATATTAGAGCAGACAATAAGAACCTATGACCTAAACTTTTTAAAGTATATAATGAGAGTAAAATTAGCACAATTTGGGACAAGATTCATATTTGAAAAAAAGAGAATAATACTTTTGCCTGTTCTCATTGTACCACACAGAAAAATTTTTTAACTGTTTAACCTGCCTGCAAAAAGCAAAATGCTCTAACAATGAATGGTAATAAATACATAATAAAATATGCAGTCAGAAAAAATTTCTGAAAATTTAAGAACAAGTAGGAGCTTGACTTTAGATCGGTAGTATTTTTTTTAATGTCAACAAAACCTTCTATAACTGTTTTCGTAAAAGGTGAGTTAAAAATTCAACTTCCCCAGATTACCAGTCCTTTTACTATAGCTCAAAATCATAGGGCTTCATGGTAATATTTGTTACTATGGTTTCAATTTTAGGCTTTGCGAGCCTAACACTACGTAAGTTATATTTGCTTTATATCACATTATTAAAAGTTAATGCACTTCAGAAACTGAAGTGTGCAATATATTTTCGTTTCAAAAACACCCACAAACTAAAGTAGATATTTAAAATCTTTATTGTTTCATCATCAAAAGTTTTCTTTCCATAGAAGAATGGCAATGCTGTATCAGTGCATATTCTATGGAAAATTCATACCTCAAATAACTAGCCTAGAAATCAGAGACAGCACTATGTCAAGCTAGTGTACAAGGTCAAAGACACAATGCTGCCAATGCAATTAGTATACAGAAAGAATATGCAGCTGTTAGAAAAAGAGGCTATGGCCAAGAAGACAAAACAGTAGCAGTGCACTGCACTGACATCTAGAAGAACAGAAAATGGGAAAGGACCAGAGAATGAACTTCCTGCAAAAAAGTCCAGTAGATCACAGGCACAAAGAGTTCCCACCTGTGTCACCAGCTGTTTAATTCACATGTACCTGTACCTTCCCTTTAGGTCTGGAACATCATAACACCGTAAGCCATTTTCAGCCTCACGTGTGACGGGTACAGCCACATGCTGATACTTCATCCTGCCTCCCATCATCTCACAGCTAAAAGTAACGGTTTAGGTTAGGCAATAAAACCTGGGGCTTCAGGCATCTTCAGTAAAAAGCTGAACAAACCCAAATTTGTTCCCATTTTCTCAAGAAATAAACCTTATAAAACAACAAAACATAGCTGTCATGATTCCTCAGCTTGGCTGAGGGCAAAACAATTTTTATGCAAGTATACTGAATAAACATACAAACAAATGTCCTTAACAAAATACAGTCAGACCAACCTGAACGTTTTCATAATCAGCTCCTGAAAAAAAGTCCTGATAACTGTGAGATGTAAATGACCACTACAATTTGATCACACCTGGTTACTGGGAATTTTTTGGTCAGGTTTGTGTCTGAAGCTGCTATACAGCTGGATTTGGCTACTTTGCATTAATTCACACAATTGCCTTTTATAAGGAAATAGCAGATCTATCATGATAAAATCAAAATGAAAACAGCTAAGAGGTATACAGGAAACTTGTCTTAAATACTTTAAAATTACATATGATATAACCTTAGAGGATAAGAACTACCATTATCATGGTCTAAATCTTAAACTGTTAATGCATGAATTATCTGCAAGACTAACAAGTCACTTGTTAATCATGTCAAGGCCTTGCGGGGGAGGGGGCACTCTGAATGTATGGCATAGCAATTATTTTCCAGGTGAATTAAACACTTCTATGTGTTATTAAACTATATTTGAAAAGTTATTTTACTTATATATACAACATACAAAATAAGTTAAAAGGAGGAAGCAGAGGAAGGTTTTCTGTATACATAATGCAAACATACAACTGTCCCTCATCAGTAGTAGTTCGATGTATATCCATTTTACTCAGGGTAAAACATGAAAAGCTGATAGAAGATCAAAAATTCCACTTATAAATAGAAACAGGATTCAAAAAATGGAATTTCAGCGTAGTTTCTTTCCATATTGCAACTTACTCTACTTTAACTATAATAAACAAATAAAAACCATATCTCAAAAATCTGTTTTTATACCCTTACCTTAAAGTTTAACATAACTTTTTCTAACAATTGAGGAGAAAAGCACTCCTTTGTAGCAATTCCATAAAATAATTTTCAATTCACAAAACACTTGTCTACTAGTAAAACCAGCAACCGTTATGGAGGGCATGGGCATTAATACTTGGCCCCTCTGAGGTATAATTGCAGCTATATTTGCACTGAGCATATAGTCTATAAGGTATGCCAACGGTCTGCAAGTTTGTGTAACATTGGGAGTGATGTCATCCTCACTGATTGAAAACTTATTTTTCTAACTTTTTGTAATGATGGAGGCTAAATAATTTTAAGAGAAAAGATGTACTTTAGCCCAGTAATACAGCCGGCAGAATTCTGACTTCCTAACCAATGCAAATGGTTATTACATTTAAAAAATGTTTAACATTGCATATTGATTTTGAAAAAACTGAACAGGAAAGACACATAAATATTTAAATTCAGCAGGACACCACAAAAAGCATACTATAGATAAGCGTGAAACCAGTCAAGCTTTTCCAAAAGAGAAAATCCTTTTAATCCTTTAGCAAGTCTCTGTGAAAATAGTATGCTTACAACAAAATTGAGAAGGGAGCACCTAGAATACCCCCAAGAGGCTTGCTATACCATTTAGCATGACTGCCCCTTCTTCTGTGTGCGTGAATGGCCAAGAACAACAGGAAGTCCATTTGACAATAGTTCAGTAATTCCTTTTCACCACTGCTGCCAGCTGAAGTCATCATTGCTTCCAAAGACCAAGAAAAAGCCTAGTATAGTTGCAAAGATGACTGTGTTTCCTGTGAGAACAAGTGCGCAAGCTCCCCACTCAATCTATGGAAATAAGATACAAAACTCAGTTAACAGACATATGAAAACAAAAATGAAAAGCAAATCAAGGCTCCGGTTGTATGCCAATCGTGGTCTAAAACAAATATGGTTTGTAACAACAACCTGCACAGTGCTGAACACTTAATGATACTTTTACACTGCTATTTTTATTTATCTTTGGTTCCTTTAGAAACAAAGTCATGAGATGATAATTATTCAAAAACGAGCTTGACTTCTGGGCTGTAATGAAGCAGCATAGAACTCTACAATTTTCTGTTTACAAAGAAACTTCCTAACTCTTCCTTAGTGAATCTAAAAGTCTATTAGAGAGCAGGTTAAATTTTAAAGTGCCAGAGATGGAAACACTAGTATACATTCTCTTAAAGGGACAGGGGAGTAATATGGCTGTCTTCTCTGCCACCTTCTCTACCTCCCCAGAGATGAAGGCATGAATCTGGATTGGTGGGTTTGGGAGGAAGAACTCAGTTGAGTATATGTAGTCCAGCCCCTGCTCCTCTTTTATACAGTCCCATCTGCAGGGCACACATAGTCCTTTCAGGTCTTTCATGTTTTAAGTTTACCAGGTGGGCCTGTGGTTGTCCCACATGGGAGGAGCTGCCACACCCGACCCTGACAGTTACGTACTAGCGAGCCAACTGCCACTGCAGATCCAAGCCATGCTCTCCAATATCATTTTTATTAGCTAACAACAACAAACAATAAAGTAAGACTTTAATCTTTATCTCTTTGGCTCCTATGTCTCTCATCTCTTTTCCATGTCATTAACAAAAACTATCCTCAAGAGAAATTTAACACAGTCCAATATAAAATCATTACTAGAAGAATATATTCACTTACCAGACGTGCTCTGGCAAATACAATAGGGAGTCCAAAAGCTGAGACAACAATGCCTGTTGTAAGAAATATGGCAAGTTCCTTACAAGCGTTACTCATAGCATCTGTATCATCCACTAATCTTCTTGCTATGCAGTATGGAATAGGTGAAAGGATGTAAAAAAACAGAACAAAGAGGGGCCAGTATTGGCTAGAAAAAGAAAAATAAGTTAATGTAATTTTTGTGATCTACGTCATTTTCCTACACCCAAAATATGTTCTTTTTTTTAAGGACCAAGGGAATATTGCAAGGTACAAAACACTGTACAGTTTAAAAACAAGCTATAACCTGCACACTGAAAACAGAAAATTCCGAGTCACAGTGTCCCTAAAATCAATTATGATGCTGATTAAATTCTTCTTCTGTTAAAAGAAAATGCCTTATAAATCGTAATAGTTGGAATCAAGGCCCAAAATTCGAAATATTTTTCATTTTCAGTTATGAATAAAGAGGCAAATGGAAAATGGGAATATTAACACAATGCTTTCTAAAATTCAGGATTCATGCCCTTGACTTCTAATGGATGATACTCTACCTTAGCATAAAGCTGAAACAATCGCACATGTTTCCTTACATCACTAGGAACTCCCAAAATACTGAAATCAAAATGTAAAACACTAACTTAAAGTAGTATTGAAGACTTTCAGTCAGAATATAGAATTTATTACAATCAAAACAGATGGCTTTTAGCCTATTGTCTAGTTAACTGTACTGTGCCAATGTCGTTTCCTGGTTTTGATAACTACAGCTATGTAAAATAACGCGACCGTGTGAAGGGTACAGGGAACTTCTATGTACTATTTTTGTAACTTCTGGAGAGTCTAAAATTATTTCCATATAAAAACTAAAAAGAAATAGAGTATATGTAGTATATATACTTTCAAACTACCACAGAATAAAACACATATCACAGTGGAGATCTGCTTGCACTTAGAGGCTTATGATAGAACAGTTATTCATGTTTTACCTAAAAATCTTTCTTTTTTTTTTAAAAATTTTTGAATTTTACTGCCTTTTCCCTGTCCCCTAAAAATCTTTCCTATTTTAAGAGAAGAAAAATTAAAAATGGAATATATACTTATGAAAAAGAAATTCAAACAGTACAAAAGCACAAAAAGTGAAAACTGAAAGTCCCCAAATCTCCCTGCCTGCTTTCTCTTTCCCACTCTCCTACCGAGCTTGTGGACCCTTCCATATTTCCGTACAGGGAAACGTAAAAATATGAGTGGGTCACTGCATTTTTTTCATTTAACAATGTATCTTGAACCCATTTGTGTATCAGCACTTACAGCTCTTCCTCATTCTTTTTAAGATTGCCTAGTATTTCCATTGATGGATGTACCATAATTTAACCATTTTTCTTTTGATGGACATTTAGGACATTTCCAGGTTTTTGTTTGTTTGTTTGTTATTATAAACAAGGCTACCATGAACATCCATACTCTCCCCCGACTACATATATCTTAGCAAACATCTGCCAGTGGATTTGTATGAGAAAGTCTAAGAAGTGGAAGGGCTAGTTCAAAGAATATATACATTTTGAGAGCTAGAAGCAAACTGGTCTCCATGAAAACTGCAGTTTGCTCATACCTTATATCTTTGCTAATGGATTTTGTTTAGTTTTGAGTGAAGTTCAGTATATTTTCATACGCTTACTAGCAATTTACAGTTTGCTTTTCATATCTGTTGTTCATTTTTCTATGGAGTTGTCCATTGTTCTTTTACTAATTTATCTAAATATTAAGCTTTAAAAGTTCTTTCTATCCTAGGGTAAGTAATTGTTTAGATCACTTTTTTTTTTAGTTGTGTTCTGAATCTATGGTATTTTTTGCAAAAAGACATTTTAGATTTTCTTGTATTTAATATTATCAATAGGTGTTCAAAACCGAGCAGGAGGGCTGAGCTACTGCATTGCTATTTTGCCATTACCAACTTAGCAGTAGTGAAAAAGCAGGTAATAGCCCAAAATCTTTTTTGCATCTTATTGTCCTAAAATCTTTACAAACAAATTTTAAGTGATGATTTTTAAAAAGGTTTGTGTTTGGTAAATGAACATTTCTCTGCATTACTTTTACAGTAGTAGTAAAAAAAAATTTTTTTAAGCCTTAAAAGTAGAAAAATTTTACCCTTAAACACTCAAAAAGACAAAAATTTTACATACTTGTATATTGGCAGGGCACATCCAAGCATCAAAAACATCAGCCCGACTGCTCCTCCAAAGGACAAACTAATCAAAGCTGCAAAGCAAATAAAAAGTCCAAGAGAAATATCAATTAGTTAAACTAAGTTAATATTATTTTTATTAATATTAAAATTAGCAGATCACATTACCTGTTATCCTAGAAGCAAAAATCTCAAATGCATTAATAGTGTTTTGTCTTCAAAAGTGTAAGTCATTTAGTCTTAGAATACGTCTTTTGTGGCATCTTCAAAGGCAAAATAAAGTGACACTGATTTTCAAAGCTCTGACCTATTGCAAGCACACCGCCACATTCCCCAATTTGCTGCTTCCACTTCTAATGAGTACTGCAGTGCATAGGATCAATGCTCCTCTGGCATTAGTATTATATTTAGTTCACAGATCACTACAGTTTTGAAAAGCAGAATGTGGAGAAACTCCGCATTCTTGTTTACTGGACTTTAGAAGCCTCATCCTATGCGGAAACCTCTCCTGATCTGCTCCTGCTTCTTGCACACACATTCCTGCTGTGCATAAAACAGTTAAGAAAAAATGTTAAGGAAATCTGTAGATAATGATTTTAATCAATTAAGTGTTACAGCTCTTTAAATAGTTTGCAAAGCTATAGCTGTGTTTCCTCCCACAATCTCCTACACGTTAGAAAATCTGAAGGATAATGGGTACAATCTTGTGTATCACTATTTTAAGGCATTATTACAAGCAATAGATGCAGTCTACAGGTGAAATACAGTTTCTAAAGCTACACACACACACACAAATACATACTCACGTACAGCAGTATATTTTAAAGTGCTTTCACATGCTAGTGAGTAAAACAACTACAGTGGCTAAGAGAACAACTTGGGTTTTGTTGTTGTTGTTGTTAATAATACGGTCTATTAACCTTAACAGAAAAGTTAAAATTCAAAAGATTTTGCAAGGTCTAAAAGTTACCAAGACAAAAGCTCACATATACAAACCACAATTAATGGTAAAGGGGCTAAATGCTGCCAAATACTGCTAATATATTTCTCAGAACTAAAATGGTCATAAACCAAAGACACCCACTAACATGGTAGCTTGGCAAATTTGGTTTTCCCTTAGATCACTGACCATTCGTTTTCTTCAGTTCAAAATCAGTCCTCATGATCTGGCCCTGCCTACCTCTCCTGCCGCATATCACGCGGGCTACTAGACTGCCCCTTGCTCTCAGCATTTCAGTTACAACGGCTCTTTCCTTTCCTGGAAATCAGCAGGCTCCCTCACCCACGTGGCCTTTGCACATGTTGTCCTTTCTACTTCAGACATTTCTTCATTCATTCAAGAGACATTTACTGAGCGCCAACTATGTAACAGGCACCCGACATATGGCAACGAACACAGCATGGCCTTTTCACACTCATGGGTCTTGCATTCTCGCCTCATCCTTTCCTCTTTCCTCCAACTTAACTTCTACTTTTCCTCAGATCTCAGCTCAATCATCTAGCCCACACTGAAGTTTTTCCAAACCTCCTCACCAGACCAATTCCCCGTTTTATTTTTCATTCATCTAACGAACATCTGTTGAGCACCTAATGTGTGTCAGACGCTGTCCTTGCTACTGGAGACGGAGCAATGAAAACAAAGCTCTTGTTCTCATGGAGCTTACATTTTAGTGGGAGAATAAACTGATTAGAAAAGAAAAGGCAAGGAAATAAATGTGATGGAAGAAGAAAGAAAAGCAGGGTAAAGGATGGTAGTTCTAGTCTAGACACTGGCAAGGGAAGGAGTCTCTGATGAGGTGCTACCTGAGCAGAGATCTACGTGAAACGAGGGAGTAAATCACGTGGGCATCTGGGGCGAGCATTCCAGGCGGAGGCCGGAGCATGCGCAGAGGCCCTCTCTGCACCGGATGCCCCACCTTTGCCCAGTTATTACAGCTGCAATTTCCTACTCATTAGTTGTCTTTCCTTCTCAACTGTCACAAGAGTAGGGAGCAAATTCTATCATTGTTGATGCTCATGCCCCAGCTCTTTACACTAACAAATGTTTATAGAATGAATGGAGCAGAGTGGAAGTCAGAACGGGCTGGGTCCTAATCCTTACTAGCCACTAACTAGTTGTCTAAATAATTTATGAGCCTCATTTCCTTCTTCTATAAAATGAATTGGACTAGATCTTAAATGCAAATAATTTTCTAAACACTAAAGATTCTGTTAAGACAGCTAAGTTCATTACTATAAATACTATAGTAACACCTCATTCATTCAAAAGCCATTTATTCAGAACAGAGCTTAGGAACCTGGAGGAAACAAAGGTCGCCCAAATGAGACAAAATAGGCGTTACAAAGCCCATACACTAAAGTTACCATTCTCTATAAACATACCCTTAAGCTCTGATTCAGAAGCTATTAATTCACTTTTATGACGCAACTGTTAGATGTGAATTCAGAGTAAAAAAATTATTTTAAAGAATTATCTGTGTTCATTTATATATATATTTCAATAGATGATGCAGGTACCCAGAACAAAATTAAGTGAAAAGGAACTTTCCCTTCCCAAAAGTATTCACTGTTACTTGTATCTTTCAACACACAATTTTGTAAGATTATCTTGTTTCCCACATTGAAACAAATGAGAAATAGCTGCACACAAGCAAGAGCTGGCCTTTGACAGAAGGGAGGAAACTTAAAAAATTTGAAACCAAGCAGAAAACTCTCAAAAAGCATGTTTGTAGTAATTTTGGCAAGAGGCAAGTAGCCTTGGGACCTTGATAGCCTTTGAGGGTAGCCCTGTTTTATGACGGGGAACAATCATTCATGTTCTTATCAAAAAGGAAAGTCTAAATTCTTTGAGCATACTCTTAAAAAGTTAATGAAAAATGACTTCTTAAAAAAAAAATCAATGACTAAGATGAGGTAAGGCTCAGGTATCAAACAACAATTTTAAAAAACATAAACCAAGATTGTTTTATTATAACTGCTATGAATATTAATATTGGAATAAAATTATTAATGCATTTATTTACATCTTAGAGTCCAATTCCTTTTATTTTTATTTATTTTTTCAACTCTTTTTAAATGCTATTATATAATGAAAAAGTCAGGCCCTTGGAATTGGGGGAATAAAGAGACCTGGAGATAATATTTCCATTCAAAACGCTATTACGTGACATCTTATCTCCCAGTCAAACCAGATAAGATAGCCAACCTGAGATGAAATGAATTGTTTAAAACTGTTCTCAAAACGTCTACTTTTTCCAGTCTTATGAAATCACCAACCAGGCTGGTTTATATACAAATTTCGTCATTTGTTTATAAACTGTTGTCTGAAATGACACATCAACAAGGCAAGAGTTATACAGTAATTGAGTGATGCAACATTTAGAAGACAAAACTTAGGTGAGTCTGGTTTCTACTCCCAAAGCCTCCAGGCTAGGGATGGAACGGCCCAATTATCTTGGCAAAACTCCCTAAAGACAGGATGCTGGTTCTGTGATTACAAAGAAATTAGAGTAGGAGGGAACAGTTCCCTAACCTGGGAGTTACCAGAAAAATCTAATATATCACAAAGTAATAGACAAATGGCTCAAAAAAAATACATAACGGTCTCTAATTACAGCAACACTCCTTCCCAATATAAAGATGTTAGGCCAAGAGGAAGAAACATCCTGATGAACAATCATAACAACCAGAAAATGCTGCTGAAATCAAAAACACAATTGCCCCTGAGACACTTTCACCTGTTTAATACAGTATTTCCCTAGGGTTGGGGAAGGAAATTACAAAGCTCTTTAAGAGAAAGGTTCCAGCATTAATGACACTGAAAAAATGGGGAAGGACAAGGAAACAGACAACATCCTAAAAACCACAGCATTTCACAATAAACGCCTTTCACATAAGGATTTAGAAGAGTCTTATATAGTTCACAAGGAGATTAGAAAGTACCTCAGTTGCTCAAATGACAAGGTTTCATACGGGAAATGAAATGTTCTAGGACGCTGAAAATGCAAAAGAAACAGAAGAATGTGACCCTGGGAAAGAAGCTCACCTACAGTTGTCCTTAAAGAAGAAAAACCACACGGATAAACACTGTAATCAAAGTTATTCACTTCCTGCTTGCCTGCCCCTTCTATAAAAGCGGCAGGTCAAGAAATTAACGTAATTCGTTAAAAAGTAGCTGAAAACTTTGTTTCTAATCGCACTGACAACAAAACTACCAGTTGGAACGAATGCGACGTTCCTTATTCCTAAAGAAAATACACGAATAAACCAGTAATTTATTCACTAAGTTGTAACACACTATTTTGTCTTACAAAAGGAAAAGAAATAAAAACCTCTGGAATCTGAAAAAGCCTCAACGTGCAACTGTGGAAAAGAAAGCGAGCCAGGAGCACTTTGGGGCCGCCCCCGGGGTCTACTCTATCGTACAAACGCCACAAATCGGAACGCATCCATTGTCGGAGCGTGTCAGGCTTCGAGCACGGGTGTCCGGCAGTGGACGTGGGTCGCTGGGGCTTCGGGAAGACCCGTCCCTAAGCTCTTCGCAAGGCGCAAGCACACGAAGATCACATTTGTGCCTTTAGGTAGCAAATGATTCCGATTTTTCCATAACTGGCATCTTTGGCCGCCTCGACCTCCTCAAAACCAGACTCTGCCGCCTCCTTGTCAGATGCAAACTCCTGCAAACCGTGTGTGACGGCCAGAGTCGCGACGGGACTCTTGAAGACCGCGAGCCACTTCATTTTTTTTTTTTTTTTGGTCCGCGGGGCGACAGTCTGCGGAAATCAGCGGAGAGCGGGGACTGCCGGAGCCGAGCCGCGGTGGCGGCCGCGCTTCCCCTAGGGCGCCGCACCCACCTGCGCTCCGAGGGGCAGGGACGGGGACCGCGGGCCGGGGTCGCCCCGCCGGGCGCAGGGACCTCGCGCGCGCCCGGGTCGGGCGGCGGCGCGCGTGGGCCCCCGGTCCCTCTTCCCGGGCTGCCACCCGGCACCCCAGCACCCTGAGCCCCAGGCCCACCTTTGATGCCGGCCATGGTGGTGACGTCGCTCCTGGCTCCACGACCCGAAGCGGCGGCCGGGAGACCAGAGACGCGCGGCGGCGACCAGACAACACCCGGAAGTACGCGACGCGGCACTTCCGCCGGCGGCGCGCGGGGGCGCGAGGGCGCGGGGGGCGCGCCGGCTCTGGCTGTGTGGCCGACTGTTTGCTCCCTGCTCGGCACCTCCGCGGAGCGCGGCCGGCATTCGCTCGCCGTCCTCGCCCCGGCTTGGGGGACGTGCAAGTGCCGGCCCCTGAATTCCCGCCAGGGTCGGGCGGAAGCTCTGTGCCGCAGCCCCGGTCCCTCAGCCGGCGGCCTCGCTGGTCCCGCAGCCTCCCACTGTCTTGAGAGGGGAGCGCGAGTAGCGGCCGTCCCGTGGAAGGCGCGTGTGATGTCTTTTGGGGATAATTTTACGCTCTTTAAAGGGCACCTTTTTCTCTCTACCCGCTCTTCGCCCTGTAATAAAGGGGAAGTAAGGCTAGTAGGGTGGTCTGCACTTGGCTTCTTGGTTTCCTACACAAAACTGGGTTTCTGATGGGGACCCACCTCCAGAGATGGGAGCAGCAGGGCCCAGTAAAGGTTTGAGCTGATAATACACATCCAATCCTTTGGGAGTTTGAGAATCGCTGTGTTCTTGGTAGCAACAAGGGTAGAAAAAGAGAGAGAGAAAGCGCGAGCGCAGAGGTCCAGTACGTTTATTAAGCCATTCTACAAATATTGGACATGTATTATATGTTAGGAACAGGGCTAGGCACTGAGGTGAGCAAAACCAGGTGTAGTTTCTGCTCTCAAGGAGCTTGCACACAACTGGGAGAGACACACAAAGAAGTGTAACATTGCAACAATGATAATTGCTAGTAACTGGGATCAGAATATGCCACTCTAAAATATGCCACTTTGGCATAAGGATTATTTTGAGTCGAAGGCAATTAAGAAGCAGCGGACACAGAGGAACGCTGCTCTCCCCTTTTCTGTCCAAAAGCAGTGCTTGAGTTCCCTTTGAAAGGGTAACATAAATTTCCATTTGTAAAAAAAATTTGTAACAAAATTTTTTATTTGTAAATATTACCATTTTCAAAAGAAAATTCTTATCACTGTAAACGGCATATGATTCCTCATACACCATAAACATTACTAAAATAACCATTATCTTCCATTAGTTTCTCCCATCTATTTACCTTCTCACAATTCACTGCCCCTAGAAGCCCAAACCCCTGTCCTTAGTCTAGTCACTTTTCCACAAAGTATCACTCTCTTGGTTAAGATGTGTGCTCCAAGGCCTAATCACTTCTTTGGGTTTTCACTTCTTTTCTGTGAAGCCTCTTTGTGCAAGCAAAATAAACTTATTTCCCTGTTAATCTGTCTTTTTGTCAGTTTAATTCACAGGTCCCAGCCACTGAATCTAAGAGGATAGAGGAAATTTTTATCCTTTTTACACTAGGAATGATGGGTAAATAGTACTATAAAAACCTTTGATTTGGATCTGCCGGGGAAGATTTGCCCAAGGGACAGACAACAGAGGGATGAATAGGTGTTGTTACTAGGAGAAAAGGAAAAAGTCATCAAGGGTATGGGGTGTTGTATTTGTGTGGGGGGGTGGGGAGTGGGGATGATGAGCTTTGGCAATAAATGGAGCAAGGAGCTTGGTGTGTTGGAGAAAGGAGAGGTGGCCAATGGGATTGCTTGAGGTTGGGGTGGGGCAACTTGCTTCTAGCGCGGAGTACTACATACGGAGTTTTGGGTTTTTTTCTCTGAGCAATGAGAATGTTTTGAAAGGTTTTGAAAGGAGGTAGGTGGAGGTAAGTAATGTAAGATGTGAGTTTTTAATATTTTTTAGTCATCAGACTAAGATAAACTGGCATAAGACTTTGTTGAGTGACTGTTTAGAAGAGATATTTCCAACATACTTTAAAATGAGAGCTACTGGGAAGCTTAAGGCATTGTCCACCCCGTTTTCCTCTACTATTTTCCAGGGTTGAATTACAATTTTGTAAGAAAGAGGTCACTTCTTGAGACATAATGCCCCATATAAATCTATGGGTGTCTTGTAGGAGAGTAGAATTTTTTTCTATTCAAGTTAGTACAAAAAGATCTACCATCTCTTTCCTGTACCATGATAAAATGAGTTTCTATTTAAGGATGTGGTAGCAAAACCACAAGGTACACTTGACCACATGCCATGGAAATGTGAGCCGTTTAGACAGAATCTGTGAACTACTAGCTTCCTTTTCTAAACTACTAAAGCAGGCATATGCATCCTCCTCCCCAACCATCTTGAACACAGTAGGTAGAATTCCTGGAGAAGTAAATTCCATCTCAAATGTCACAATACCGCCTTTTCTTGTTTTGTTCCATGGTATTCCATCTTTGAAGACGGCGATGTGTTGAGGGGACATAGCAGAGGTAGCAGATCGATGGTGGTGGTATTGGTGGTAGGAAGTGATACATACAGGAAGGTTAACATCTCATAGGCTCATAGCTTGGCTCCTGAGGAAAGATCAGATTTTAGAAAGCCTTTTTAGGGGTGGCTTTCACAAGCCCCAGTGGTTGAATTAAGTGGTAATCCCCTAATTTCCTCTTTCGAATAAAAATGTGTTGAGCGTTACAGATATCCTTGATGACATTAATGGGCTACTGGGCTTGTTCATCAGGGTAGAGGAAGCTATATTCTTTGTTTTCCATGGTCATGGAATCCTAAGAGACTGTGCTCTTTTAAGTTTCCCATCAGATTCACAGTGTTTCTAGCACAAAAACACTCATCACTCTAAGGACTATTTTTGGTTTACAAATGTTATGTAGGGAACAGTCACTTGAGACCTTAAAAACAGTGTTTCCAAATGTATTTCAAAGGCCACCTACACTACAACAGAATTCCTTAAGGCATTTCACAAATTCCTGGTTCCAGACCTTCTGAATTAGACTTTCGCAGGTAGAATCCAGGAATCTGAAATTTTAACAAGCACCTCAAACAATTCCTATGCAAACTAAAGCTTAAAAATCATTGTCTGAAAAAAGATAGGATGTCAGGGGTTTTCTTCACCAGTTTTCCAAGTGAGTCCTAAATGCTAGTTAATGTCATATCTTTTAAATGTTCTCTAAGTATCATTACATAATAGTTAATCAGTGTTACCTTTCACAGTTCCAACACTTTTTATGCAGATGGTTTCCTGTTCTCCAGTGATAATTCACAAAGATGGGAATGGGGGTGAGAGGAAGAGAACTCTTAATTACTGAGCAGCTGCCATGTGCTTTAATATTTATCTGATTTAATTCTTTCTACAATTTTGTAAATTGGGAATTACTTACAGATGGAGTCAAAAAAGCTCAGCGATGTTTTTAGTTTTAAAAAAACTTTTTATTATGGAAAAATTGAAAATACTGTATAAAAAAATAGAATAGTATAATGAACTCCCATCGACCATCAGCTACCTCAAATTATCAACACGTGGTCAATGTTGTGTTATCTATACATCTTCTCTCACCTCCTGTATTATTTTTGTGAAAGCTGTCAGAATAAAAATGGAGTCACTTGTGTTAAAGAAACAAAACAAAACACCCTGACAAATAGAGCCAGGGAAGATCATGAAGAGAAGAGTTCTCATGCATAATGCCTGATAATAAAAACTATTATGAAAGATTCTGCAAAAACCGCAACCTTGCACAAAGGCCCAGCTACTACTTGTCCAAACTTGGACTGGGGTCACCCTTGTTATTGATCCTTGTAGCTAAGGATAATTATTTCAAAACAATTAAGTCATCCTCTTCATTTTCCCTTTAAAAACTTTTGTCTTCCTATACCTCCCTGAATACACACATAGCTTTCTTGGCACACGTATTCCCATGGCAGTACCCTATTCCTGAATAAATATCATTTTCTTTAGAGGGCCTCTCTGTCTGTTATTTAGGTTGACATAAATGGTGTCAGAAGTGGAATCTGGAGCAGGATCACTTTGGGAAGAAATGGGTGATTTTTGCAAGTAACGTGCAGTACTCACTTGTGCCCTTTGAGCTCTGCACTTCCATGGCTCTCCTTTTCTGCCCTGGTGGGTCTTCTCAGTCCAAGCCTCCCTCTTTTTGGTAGAAGTGCTTGACTTTATTTGGGATTTGGTGTGGTTATAAGTCTGCCCTAAATAAAGAACCTTATATCCCTCCTGGAATAATAAAAGATGAAAGCAAATTCCAGACATAATTTCAACTTTAATATTTCAGTATGTTTCTAAAAGGATAAATATTTCAGTATGTTTCTAAAAACCACAGCTATAGTATAGTTGTCCCTTGGTATCCATGGGGGATTGGTTCCAGGACCCCTCATGGATACCAAAATCCACAGATGCTCAAGTTCACAGATGTTCAGATATAACATGGTGTAGTATTTGCATATAACCTACACATATCTGCCCCTATATTTTAAATCATCTCTAGGTTACTTACAGTACCAAATATGATGTAAATGCTATGCAAATAGTTGTTCTACTGTATTTTTTAGGGAATAACAACAAAAAAAAGTCTATATGTGTTCAGTACAGATGAAATCATCCATTTTTTAAAAAAATATTTTTGATTTGTGGTTGGTTGAATTCATGGACGTAGAACCCACTGATGTGGAGGGCCAACTGTCCAGTAATCAGAACCTAACCTGTAGGTTTAGGTTAGGTTTAGGTTAACTTTCTTAACATAAAAAATAATTCTTTAATATCATTCACATCTAGTCTAATCCAATTGTCTCACAGATGTCATTTATTTTATATATTTCATAGTTTGTTTGAATCGGCATTCAAATCTTGTTTACCCATTGCTGTTGGTATGTCTCAGAGGATTTTAAGACACTGCCTGGGTAGTCAAATAAGAAATATATTTGGTCTTTTTCTCTGGCTCATGTCATAGAGTTCCTAAAGTCCTCGGAATGTTCTGACTGATAGGAGTGTCTTTTGTCATAATGAGTTCTTTTGAGAACACCTGGGTTTATGCTAATGAGATGACTTAGGCCCTAGATAGCTTTGGAAAGTCACCAGAAAGACCAAGTGATTAGAAGATTAGAGCCCCACTAACCTCCAGGAAAGGTGGGAGGGAGTGGCTGGAGGTTAAGCTCGATAAAAAGTCTTGGACAAAAAGACTTCATGGGCTGGGTGTGGTGGCTCATACTTGTAATCCAAACACTCTGCGAGACCTGAGGCCGGAGGATTGCTTGAGTTCAGGAGTTCGAGACCAGACTGAGCAAGAAGGAGACCCAGTGAGACTGAGGCAGGAGGATCACTTGAGCCCAGGAGTTTGAGGTTGCTGTGAGTCACCACACTCTCTAGCCCGAGTGACAGAGCAAGACTCTACCTCAAAAAAACAAAACAAAACAAAACAAAACAACAACAACAACAAAAAGGAAACCCACAAACAAACAATATAAAATTTTATGAGCTCCCAGGCTGCTGAATGCACAGAGGTGCTGGGAGACTGGTACACCAGAGAGGACAGAAAGCCCCGTGGCTCCCACCTTTGCCCTATACATCTCTTTATGTGACTGTTCGTCTGTGCCCTTTACAATAAATTTGTAAACATAAATAACGTCTTTCTCCGAGTTCTGCGAGCCATCCTAGCAAATTATCAAACTCAAGGAGGGGGGTCATGGAACCCTGATTTATAGCTGGTTCGTCAGAAGCACAGGTCACAAGCTGGGATTTCTAATTGATGTCTGAAGTGGGGGAAGTCTTGCAGGACTGAGCCCTTAACCTGAAGAATCTGACTGAACGACTGTTCCTTAAAACTCACAGATTTTGCATCCACTGTCCCCAAAGCTGTGAAGCCTAGTCCTCTGATTTTTTTTTTTTTTTTGAGACAGAGTCGCCCGGGCTAGAGTGCCGTGACATCAGCCTAACTCACAGCAACCTCAAACTCCTGGGTTCAAGCAATCCTCCTCCCCACCCCGCCTCGGTCACCCAGAGTGCTAGGAATCCTCTGATCTTTGTATGGCTAGTTCTCATCATTCAGGTTCCAAGCTTCAAAATCACTTCCTCAGCAAGGCCCTCCCTGAAGTTGCCTCTCAGTCTCTATCGTATAATATCATCCTGTTACATTTTCATCAATGGACTTATCACTACCTATTATTTTTATGTTGTTTGATCAATGCAGGCTCCATGAAGGACCTTGTCTGTATCCTCCATGCCTAAAACAGTGCCTGGTGCATATTAGGCATTCAACATACATTTGTTGAATGAATGAATGAGAGAAACCCAGGCCTGTCAGACCTCAAAGCTTAGAGAGCTGTTTTCTCTGGCTGATTCTTTATTCAGGCTGTATTTTCTCCTCCTGACATGTACATTCTTACGCCCTACAAGTGCAAGGAACTATGTAAAGATTCTTACCTCTGAGATCAGACGGTGTATTTCCATGGTACCTTTCGCCTGGATCTTCTCTGTATTTAGCAAACAGTAATGGAATACCAATCACGTGCCAGACGCTATGCTAGATGCTGAACACATAAAGTTGAATAAACCACAGTAACTTCCTTGGAGAGGTTATTAAGGTTTTGGACATATATAACTTGACTACCTTTCTTAGATTTCGCATTGCGAGGATTTCAACTTCTCAAATAGCAGCTCCTACGCGTAGTACCTTCCAGAATTGGAGACCAGGCATAATGGGCTGCGCCCCGCTCTCGGCCCCGCCCCCACCGCCCAGCCCCCTGCCCCGCCCCCAGCTGCGCGGCGCTCCAGAGGCGGGGTCGACAGCTACCACTCACGGCCCCCGACGTGCCGCAGCGTCAGTGACGTCACACAGGCGCACGGACCCGCTGCGGCTGCGGCTCTGTAGTCAGACCTTCCGCTCGCCGCTGCCGAATCTCCGAGCGTCTCTTCGCAGCGGCTCGCGCACTTCCGCAGCCCACTTGAGGCCCGCCGGCGCCTGGCAGCCGCGCGCCATCTTCACCCAGCGCCATGGCTGCGGCGGGCGGGCTGGGAGCGGCCGGGCGCTGCCCGCTCCTCGGCCTGCTTTTGCTTTCGCTGATTGCGGGCCCTGCGCTGGGCCGGAACGACCCTGGTGAGTGCTGTCGGGGTGCTCAGGCACCTCAGTCGCCTTTCCTGCTGCCTTCAGCGGGTGCAAACGACCGTTTCTTTTCGTCACCCCGAGTCTTTTTGCCCTAATTCCCCATTTCTGTCCTCTTTGCTATTCATCTGTGCCCGGCTTGTCTCCTTTGCTCTTCCCAGGCAACCTACGAGGACGGTTCGGGAGTGGGCGGGGCGGGACGACTCTGGGTTCATTCCATCCCCTTACTCCCTTCCCTGGACTTCCAGAATTTACCCACCTTCTTCTTTCTCGGGTTTCAGGCCTCATCTCTGAGTCTGGCTGCAAAGCTCAACACTCACCTGCGCATCTTGCTTTGTTGTCATAATTGTCTGACGTCATCGTCGCTGAGTGTTGTCATGGCTGCCTGTTGCTATGGCTGACAGTTGCCATGCCATCAGCAGTTTCTGAGTCACACTTAGCGGACAGGGCTGCAAACCCTGTAGGTTGGTTAGCGGAATCATAGATGGTACGGTTTTTGTGAGCAGAACTCCCGCTTTTTATTCTGGCTTTTCCAGTGAAGTACATTGCGTTACACCAGCTTTTCCCATCGGTTTATATAAGAATTTAAAAAATAATTTTGCCTTATTTATTTATTTTTGGGTGATGATACATAGTGATTTCTAAGGAAGGGGTCTATTATGTATCTATGTTATTAAAATTGTCTGAAGAATTTTTATGGGATCGATAATATTCCGTGCAGTTAATACATATGTATTGTATATACACATATCGATTTTGCCTTTTTCCATTTAATAAACGATGCACGCTGTTAAATTGGGATTATGTTAAAAAATGATTTTTCAGCAACTAAAACAACATTTTTGGTTTGGGGAGTAAACCTGTTAAGGCATGGAAAACATATCAGTATTGCATTTGTGATTTGATGATTGGCAGTGCCAACATTTTAAAATTTAAGCAACAGGTTTATTTCTGTAACATCCCGTTTTATTCCTACATGCTGAAATAAGAGAGAAGGTGCTGTTTGCAGGCACTTTGACCATTTGATGTGGATGTTTTATTACCCGTAAATAAAAAGCCCAGTTGGATTTAAATGTTTGTACATTTTCCTCATGTATTTTGGAGACTTGATCAAAATTATAATTTAAAACCTGGAATGAAACATGCATTAATTGGATTCTCAATCAATTCTTAAAAGAAAAAGGAAGTTTACAGCTGAAGAGTCAGAACTATAAAAAAACAAAAGAACCAAATGTAAATTAATGGTGAACCACTTCCTGGAGGCTCTTAGTTCACCTACACTATGAAACTATTGTTCTGGAACAAAAAGCACCAAGATGTTTTGCAGAGTAAACTCAATTGATTTATATAAACTCTACTTTAAGTTTACTTTGAGGAATTGTTTTATGAAGGTACTTTATTGGAATATCTTTTATTGAGTCCTTCAGTAAAGCAATAATCACTCCCTAATTTATCTTTTGTTTGACTTTGGATGTCCTTACTTTGTCTTTAGCTAACATAGAGCGATAATTTGGGAAAAAACACCATTCTAAAGAGATTATCTAAGAATTTTCAGAATTCCTTATTGAATGTAGTCTTATATTTGTCACTCTTCTGCATGTTGGGAATATAGCAGTGAATGGAACACAGTGTCTTGCCCCTAAGGAATTTACATCTGTTGAGGAGAAATAGACAATAAGCAAGTAAACAGCATGCCCTGTGATGAAAAGTAGTATGGACAGCAAGAAAACAGGGTAGGTAAGGAGGACAGCCAGTGTAGGCAGAAGAGTGGGGACTTAAAAAATAGATATTGGTTAGGAAAGAAGTGACTCACTGTTAAAGTGACATTTGATCAAAAACCTGAAAGAAGTAAATGACCTGATATAATTTATATTTTTAAAGGCTTGTTTGGGCTGCTCTGTGGAAAACAGACTGAAGCGGTTAGGAGGGAAGCAGAGGGGCTAGTGTGGAGACAGCTTGTATATTAAGTTCTGAGTCTTGACAGAGAGTGGTGACCGCTGGGACCAGGGGAGGAGCAGTGGAGTTGGTGAATGTGGCTGGATTCTCTATTCAGCTGTTTTGGAGGTGGAGCTGACATGATAATTCTGATAGATCAGATGTTGGGGTGAGAGACAGAGAGAAGACAAGCATGACTCCAAGGTTTTTGGCATGAGCAACTAGAATTATGGAGTGACCATTATGTGAGATGTGGAAGAATATGGGAGAATCGGCTTTGGGGGAGTTTGGTTTTGTTTATCTTAAGTTTGAGACCTGCAACAAGTGGATTTTGATTTATGAGTCTGGAGTTCAGGGAATTCCTTGTGTCTCTTGACTGATGTAACAGGTGTGGCTATGAGCCTTTTGTTCCTAGACCTTAAGGATCTCTAGGAAAGAAAGATGCTGTAGGGTTATGGTAATGATACCCGATGTGTGTATAGCTCTTAAAGCATTCTCAGCAATATTTTTCATGCTTGATCAGCTATTAATGCATCAAGTACTCTGCTAGATAATTTTAGTAAATGATATCTAAGCTTTACAACAAATTCAAGGTTGATGTTACCATTTTAATTTTATAGGTGAGGAAACTTCTACACAAATTAAGTGCCTTGGCCAAAGTCATAGCAAGTTGGCGATGCCAACTTAGTTCAGTGTTCTTTTCATAATCTCAACCCTGTTACAGTAAGTTCAATTTATTATTTTTATTAGTTTATTAAAAGTATTAATACTTTTTAAACTATCGAGCAGTCCATATTTTTAGTTTTTTATGTATGAAGAGGTAGGTTGGGTTTAATATAGCATATTTTATTTTAATAGTTCTTGGAAATTTTAGATCTTTAGCCCATGTGGAATTAAATTTTTATATAGCTTTAGATAGGTTTTCTTCTAGCTGCATAGTCAGTTATGCCAGTGTTGTTTATTGAAGACGGCATCTTTTTTCCACTGAATTAAGATGACCACTTTATCTTATGTTGAATTCTCACATGTATCTGGATTTATTTCTAGACTTTCTTGTGTTTCACAGTTCCCATGTCTGTTTGTTGTTCCAATTCTATACTATTTTGATGATGATAATAATATAGTGAGCTTTACTGTCAGGTAAAGCAGTGCATTCTTTTATGAAAAAAATTGGCTATTTATAAGCATCAATTTTTCCACAGGACTTTTAACATAATTTCTTTACACTCCCCAAAAAAAACATATTGGGTTCTTGGTTGAAAGTACATTATATTTAGGTCTTTTTATATTTTTTATTTTATTCTTTTTAGCCTTACATCTTGACAATAATATGTTGAGGTCTTTTTATGTGTATATTTTCTTATATAGATCATGTACTGACCTTAAGTTTATTTCTAGGTATTTTATGTGTACATGTATGTGTTTTGTCCATAATTTGACAGGCCTAATAAGATAGGCCTTCCATTTTTATTTCTAACTGGATATTACAGGTATAGAAAAAGCTGTTGGCTTTTGGTAATTGATGTCAAATTCTCTTATTTATTATAACAGGGTTGTATTTTGAGAAGTTCTCTTAGATTTTGTAGGTTCAGAAACTCTAAAATGTTATCTCATCTACTATTTGTATTTGTGCCAAGTGTGGCAGACACTGTCAGATGATTACTTAAAGCTGTTGTCTTCCTTGTTTACCACTATGTAAGTCCTGGAAAAGCTAAATACACATGTTAGTAGAATCTCTTGAAGCTAGGCACCCTAGTCAGTCTCCTGGAGGGCTTCTGGGAAAGATATTTTAAATTTTAATGTGAAATTATGAATCCTTTTATATGCTTTATTTTCTTTCAACTCTCTCAGTTTTTAAATGTTGAAGTATTTTAATGTAAATTACAGACATTAAGACAGACCACCACTAAATCCTTCAGTATTCATCCTTTTTCTTAAAGGAACTTTTCCTCATATGGTGAAAATACCATTACACTTGACAGAAATCCTGATTTCTTAATATCAACTAATTACTCATTCCATATTCAGTTAACGTATTAGTAGTTGTTCCTAAAATGTCCTTTGTAGCTAGTTTGTTCAAACCAGGACCCAATCCAGGACTGCATTGTATCTGGTTGATTATATTACCCCTTAACTTTTAAAAAAAATCTAGGACAGTTCCTTTTTTGTGCTATTGGTTTGCTGAAGAGATTGGGCCGGTTGTCCTTTAGAACTGCAGTTCCCAACCCCCAAGCCCCCACTGTCCTGACCTGTTAGGAACTGGGCGCACAGCAGGAGGTGAGTGGAAGGGGAGCAGGTGAAGCTTTGGCTGTATTTATAGCTACTCTCCATCGCTTGTATCACTGCCTGAGCTCTGCCTCCTTTCAGATCCGTGGCACCATTAGATTCTCACAGGAGTTCGAACCCTGCGGTAGACTGTGTGTGCTAGGGATCTGGGTTGCTCGCTCATTTTAACTGCTAGAGAATATTTCACTGTAAGTCTGAATTTATTAATCTCTTCACCTGTTCATGGACATTTAAATCATTAAATGTACTTTAAGGACAGGTTTGTATATTTTTTCGCTAATGTTATTATTACACAATAGTACAGTGTTTCAGATTAATTCACTTTGTTCTTCTGATTTAGCAAAAATTATGTAGAACTGGTGTTATAAAAGCATCTTGCCTGAAATGAAGCAGGAGGTCTTAAAGATGTGATCATCTGAGTTTTGTGCAAAAGGCCTGAATATTGCTGGGATGGCCTTGAGAAATGGATTCATCTTTTCTTTCCTAATCCTCCTCAAAAGGCGAGGAAGACACTTTTGAAACTATTTGCTATGACAAGAGTTTTATGATGATGAATCTTTCTGTATTCCTGTGACAAGCTATTTACTTTGTGTTCATCTGTGTTCTTACCGTTTCAGACAGAATATTGTTGCGGGATGTAAAAGCTCTTACCCTCCACTACGACCGCTATACCACCTCTCGTAGGCTGGATCCGATCCCACAGCTGAAATGTGTTGGAGGCACAGCTGGCTGTGATTCTTACACACCAAAAGTCATACAGTGTCAGAACAAAGGATGGGATGGTTATGATGTACAGGTAATAGCCACTACATTGGTGGCAGTCTAAATGGAATTTTTATTTAATAAAATGTTTATTGGGACATTGCTCAATGTTTTGGGAAGACTGTCTCAGGTCAACCTAAAATATATAAATCAATCAGTCACTTTTCCTCTGGGAGAAACATCTTCTAAAAGAAATGGACTGATTTTAAAGTCTGCAAATAAATATTCATTGTAATTTTTGTGCCATGACTTCCTTCTAAGACATTAATAAATTTTCTGAACTTTTTATATACTTGAGGATGGGAGTAGGGGATCTCTTAAGATTGTCATTTTCCTGTCATTCTTCAAAGAATGCCACCTACCCTTAAGGAAATAAAGTTAAGATGATCAGGAATCACAGATTGTAAATAGTAGGAGTACGTGTATCCCTATTATGCTTCAATCACTTGATTTTAAAATTATTTTAGAACTGAGGGTGGTTACTTTTGAATGGAAGCATTTCAGTGGGCTTTATTCATTGCCTCTGGGATGCTGTCGTTTTGTACGTAGAGCATAGGATCTTCCCGAAGTTATGCAATTGAATATGCTTTAGAGGTGGAATAGATTTTGTTAAATGAATTCAATTTAAGTCACTACTTACATATTTCTACTTTGTCTTCTGCCTGCTTTCAAAAAGGACTTAAGGTGACTTGTCACTAGGCAAGAAACTTGTGCTGACAATTTTTCCCCCTCTGTCAGAGTGATACTCTTGTTTGATACAACCTTTATGCATGGCCTATGCAATTCAGAGAGAGAGTTCATGTTTACTGGGTGATGCCTCCACAGGATTTTTTTCCCCCAGTATTACTAAATTGAATCATAGAATCTACAGGTTAAAGCAGAAGTCTGTCTTCCACTTTACTTTTAAGTTACTTTTATAGTCTTGATGGAATAAAAGAAATAGTGCTGTCCGGTTGAGGGCAGTGGGAAGACTTAAAGGAGGATATATTTGTGCTGTGTTAGGAATGAATGATAAGGCTTTTAGAGAGGAAGAGACAGAGAAGGGAGTAGCATGGGCAAAGAAGTGTTGAGCATATCATACATTGGCTTATGTTTAGTATCAGGAGAGAGCTGCCTTCAATTCCAAGAGTTTAAATTTGAATATACTACTTAGAAGCCATTTTTAGTATGCACTGTTAAGGAAGTGGCAGTTTACATGAAATATCAATATAAATCTAGCTTGTTTTATTTACCTAAATTGGCAAACTTACAAATCTTTCTCCAAATAAAATTAATATTTAAAAAGTAAAGTAGTATAGTAACAACAACAAAAGAAGAAAAATTGCATATTATCCAAGTTAAAAACTTTTGGGTTTTAAAACACACCATCAAGGAAGTGAAAAGACAATCCACAGAATGGGAAGAAGCTTTGCACATCATATCTGAGAGGCGGGACTTGTATCTAGAATATAAAATAACTGTTACAACTCAGTAAGAAAACAACTAGCCAAATTACAAATGGCAAAGCATCTGAATAGACATTTCTCCAAAGAAGATATGCAAATGACCAGTAAACACATGAAAAAATGTTCATCATTAGCCAGCAGGGAAATGCAAATCAAAACCACAGTAAGATACCATTTCACACCTAATAGGATGGCTATAATAAAAAAGACAGCAAGTGTTTGCAAGGATATGGAGAAATTGGAACCCTCATTTACTGCTGTTGGGAATGTAAAATGGTGCGGCTGCTTTGGAAAGCTCTGGCATTTCCTCAAAAGTTTAAGCATAGCCCTACTCCTTCCACTCCTAGGTATATATCCCAGAGAATTGAAAACATCCACATAAAAATGTGTATATAAATGTTTATAGCAGCATTATTCATAATAGCCAAAAAGTAGAATGGACAACTCAAATGTCCATTACTGATGAATAATAAACAAAATGTGGTGTAGCCATACAATGTAATATTTAGCCATAAAAAAGAACAAAGTACTGATACATGCTACAACATGGATGAATCTTGAAAATGTTACTAAGTGAAAGAAACCATATTGTATGATTCCATTCACATGAAATGTCTACGATAGGGAAATTCATATAAACAGAAAGTAGATTGATAGTAGACCTGGGAGATTGTTAGGGGTGGGGGTGGGGAGCGACTGCTAATGAGTACAGGATTTTTTTTGGAGATGATGAAAATATTCTAAAATTGATTGTGATGGTTGCACAACTCTGAATATACTAAAAAACATTGAAATGGGTGGATTGTGTGTGAATTGTATCTCAATAAAGCTGTTATAAAAAAAGTAAAATAGTGTATCTGAACTTTGAAAGAGGAAAATTATTTGCACAAAAACTTACAGAAAGGCAATAGAAACAATTAAATCTACTTTAGCTTGTATCTCATTGTTAAAGAAGCATATTGTCTTTTCATCACAAAATATAGTTATATAATTTAAGCTAAACTTGGGCTTTTTTTTTAAGATAGAGATTTTTGAGGCTAGCATAGGTTCTTTTTGCATTTTTCTAAATATCTTTTAAAAAAGGTAAGAGGATTATATAGGACTGGGCCCTGGAAAGTTAGGCCATGGTTATATAGAATTTGTGTAGAAGGTTTTTTTCCTAGCAGGTTATATAGTATCTCTGATGCTATGTGTATTTATCATATATGATGCTGATTTTTGAGTCTTAACATCTTTTAAAAAAAATCTCTATTTTTAAATAAGAAAGCATCTTGAACAACAGGGGCAAAAAGTTGACATTTTGAAAATTTGCTTAAATTTGATAAATTATAGAATACCTAATGTGTACAAAAGAACATATGACATGTATGTGTAAAGAATAGTAATAAACACTTGTGTACCCACCACCCAGCATAAGAAGTAGAACACTAATATCACCATTATCTTTGAAGCCCCTAGTTTGCCCTCCCCTCAACATAAATGCCCATTGTCCTGAATTTTGTTGATCATTCATTCCCTTGTTCGTTTTGTAGTTTTATGACAGATATAGCCCGAATGATACATATTAAATGAAAAAAATTTTTGTTTCCAATAACTTATTTGTATTTTTCTTCACAGTGGGAATGTAAGACCGATTTAGATGTTGCATACAAATTTGGAAAAACCGTGGTGAGCTGCGAAGGCTATGAATCCTCTGAAGACCAATATG